GCTTCCATCAGTGTAAGACCTCAATGTTCTCGTTCTCTCAGACCTAGAATAACGAGTCCTGGAAATCCTTGATTGAGTGTCGCTTGTTCTGAGGCTCCTACTCTCTGCTTGCGATGGCGTGGTATGCCTACCACGATCTTCTGAGTGGCGAGGAGGCGTATTGCTTTTGCGCCCCTCTCCTGTCGCCATCTCCTTCCCTTTATCTGGCGCTTCATCAATTCCATGTCCGCCGCCATCTTCCTGATTAACTCGTCCTGCTCCTTTACTGGATCCTTCAAAACTTGAGGGTCGATCCCCCGCCTCTGCCTATCAAGACTTGATGAGCGACGGGGGCTATTACCCTGTCTCCCCTTGCATCCCTCCGGGGGTTCTGTCACTGGGGCTCTAAATCTGCCATGGGAGGGATGGAAGGCAAACCTTCGAGCCTCCCACATCCCTCTGGGGTTTGCCCGTCAATGGCAGACTGCGGCAAATCCTCATTGTGCGCCATTACATCTTTTCCAGCAAGGAAAACTTTGATCAAAAGGTTTTGTTCTTTCTGTGCTTCCCACAGACGATGCCAATTGTACGAGCAAGAAATATTCTTCTCGTATAATCCTGTTGACCAAGTCTGCGCTCCTCCAAACGTCGTCGCTTTACTCCCTGAAAACACAAACGTGAGCTAGCCGGCAGGTGTGTGCCGGATACCTTTCCGATACCTAAGTTAGCAAAATAGACAAATAGACAAAAGCTCTGTGTATTCGGGAATCAAAGTTGTGTTACCTCTCCATAGGTGATGTTGTGAGCTTTTATAGGTTTCGTGTGGTACAATCCTAATAGGACTCTTATTTCTCCATTCAGAGTCTTCATAGGAATTACTCTCCTAAAAGATAATGCTTATCCTTCAACACCCCCCTCACTGCTTAAACCAAATGACATGGTCCTAGCTCGGTGCTATGTCCAAACGACCGAGCTAGCATTGCCATGGCACAATAATAATGTAACCAAGCTAACAATACTTATGTTACATTTATCCCGGCGCTTTATGTGTAACACGTACCTCGGCTTCGCCTGTAGACTGTGCTAACCATAGCGTACTTGGACCGAGCTACTCAACAGCAAGGTCTTGAGTAGAAGCCAAAAAATACCTCGGCTCAAGATGGTTTAACCGAGCTAACTGTCACCGCGCCGGCCGTGGTGACCGAGCTAACCACCAAGCTCTTTCGAACCGGGCTATTTGCAAGGCTCCTCTGGACCGGACTAATTACATGGCCTCTTTTACTCAACCCTTCTTATTGTGGCCCACAGAATGGCCCATTACCCAGCTCGGCCCAATTTACATATAAATTACCCTCTTAAAAACTATTGAAATATTGGGCATGACAATGTAATATCTCAAAAGTATTATGATTTGTGAAGAAAGTAAGACTCACAATTTAATGTTGAATGATGGGAAACAACAGGGGACATGGCTTTTGGTTGATTAGTGCGAGCATTGTCACGTGTACCCGAAGACCAACTAATAAGTTTTTCACATTTTTTTTAGAAAGTTATAAAACAATTATATTAAAATAAAAACAAAAAATATATCAAAAATTTTTTTTCCAATTGAATTGATTTTTTTTTTCTTGAGAAGCAAAAAAAATGCAATAAATTAAATGAAAAATGGAATACAAGAATAACAAAAGAAAAAATATATACTACAAACTGCAAAAAGCCTAAAAAAATAGCCACGGTTTGAGAAAACTACAAATCTATTAGTAGATGTGATATGGGCTCCAACCTATGGATGAAATGTTTGTCTCATGCATAAAACCATATTATCATCGTCATCAAAATCGTCGTCCGCTATTGCTGCTCCTTGAACTCTACCACTATTGCCACTACAGCAGAATACTGAAACTCAAGAAACTCACAATAAAAAAAAAGAAAAATAAATAAATAAATAAATATATGTAAAAAAAGAAGGGAATATTATAAGACTCCCATTTCTAACCTAAAAAGTATAGATCTATATTTTAGAAGTGTAATTAACACTTTAAGAATGTAAATCTACACTTTAGAAATGTAAAGGAGGTCGCTAAAGCTCAGCCATGAGTCACATAGAGAGAAGTTCACACCTCGCTTTCTCTCTCTATGGAACATGGCTCAAGGGCGAGAGTTCCAATTGAATTGATGAAATGATGGACTGGGCATATGGACTTGTTTATTACAACTTATTATAAAGCATCAATTCCCTAATTTCTAAATAATTATTATTTTTTAATTTATTTAAATTATTTATACTTAATAAAATATGAATTGAGGCCTCTTTTAGGATCACTTAAAAAAGTTAGTTTATCAACTTATTTAGGTTATATTATCTTTATATTTTTTGAACATTTTTTTTAATTAATAAGAAAAACTACTTATAAACTATGCCCAAAATAACTCGAATCTGCACCAAACTATTGTTACGTATTCCAAAATTAAGGTAGTGTTGGATTTGATTTTTAAAATATGATTTTGATGAAAAAATTGAAAAGTTTGTAAAATTGAAAAGTTTGTTTAGTTGATTAGTTTTTAAAATACAACTTGAAAATTTAATTTTATCTTTCATTCTCTTTTTCTTTTATTATTAATAAATTACCTAATCATTTTTTTTTTAACTCTCTCATTTTCTCACATTTTACATATCAAGCAATTAAATTTTTTTTCATACTCATCTATTTAATTTTTTTAAAAAAATAAAAATTACAAATGATTAAAAAATTTATTTTTAAAAAGAAAATATTTAGTGACCCGAATTTTTGTGACTCGAATGTGTTAAAATAATATCGTTTTACACTCAAAACGACGTCGTTTTGAATATTTCGAGCCATTCGAAATATATTTTTTTAGATCACCTAATATTATTATTTTTAAAATTTATAATCAAATAAAATTTTAATGTTCAAATTTTTTTTAACAATTCATCTTTTAAAGCACGACTCAAAACTAACTTTAAAAACTAAACCAAAAGCAACATCCAAACAGGGCCCTTCCCGTTTTCAAACAGAATTAAACTGATTTGGATTTATTGCTCATCCAAACAGAGCCCTTCCCGTTTTGTTATCTGTTTGAATTCAAAACCAACAGGTATCATATCTGTTCAATTCAAAACCAAGAGGCACATACCTGTTCAATTCAAAACTAAGAGCTACCTTCACATCTATAAATAGGACCACCCTCATTTGATGTTTTCCATTCAGAAATTTCGTATTTCACTTCTGCTATTTATATTCTTCATCTTGCTGCATTTTATTTCCGAAAAAAAGAGTGTAAACACTTAGTGTGTTCGTAAGGCAAACAATTTGTAGTGCTGCTATTGTTTGTGGTAAGATCATTTCATCCTGGGAGATAGACGTCCAAATTCTGAAAGCACCGTGGAGAGGACGAATCTGTCTTAAGGACACAGTGTTAAACACTGGACTTGATCAGAAAATAATTCGAAGAAATTAAATCAAGTAAGTTATTTAATTTATTTTCAGTGTTGTTTTTATTTATTTAAATCAGATTTTAATTTTGTTTTTGTAACAAAATAAAATCTGTTTTTATTTATTTATTTTTATTTCGAGTTTGATTTTTGTAATCAAACAAATTCTCTCATTTTATTTATTTCTTTAAATTCTATTTGTTGTTGTGTACACAATAGAATTAAATCTTTTAAATACAGTGAAGATTGTCCAACAATCAAAAACAAATTCTCTCATTTTCTTTATTTCTTTAAATTCTATTTGTTATTGTGTACACAATAAAATTAAATCTTTTAAATACAATGAAGATTGTCCAATAAAGTTCACACCTCGCTTTCTCTCTCTATGGAACATGGCTCAAGGGCGAGAGTTCCAATTGAATTGATGAAATGATGGAGTGGGCATATGGACTTGTTTATTACAACTTATTATAAAGCATTTATTCTCTAATTTTTAAATAATTATTATTTTTTAATTTATTTAAATTATTTATACTTAATAAAATATGAATTGAGGCCTCTTTTAGGATCACTTAAAAAAGTTAGTTTATCAACTTATTTAGGTTATATTATCTTTATATTTTTTGAACATTTTTTTTAATTAATAAGAAAAACTACTTATAAACTATGCCCAAAATAACTCGAATCTGCACCAAACTATTGTTACGTATTCCAAAATTAAGGTAGTGTTGGATTTGATTTTTAAAATATGATTTTGATGAAAAAATTGAAAAGTTTGTAAAATTGAAAAGTTTGTTTAGTTGATTAGTTTTTAAAATACAACTTGAAAATTTAATTTTATCTTTCATTCTCTTTTTCTTTTATTATTAATAAATTACCTAATCATTTTTTTTTTAACTCTCTCATTTTCTCACATTTTACATATCAAGCAATTAAATTTTTTTTCATACTCATCTATTTAATTTTTTTAAAAAAATAAAAATTACAAATGATTAAAAAATTTATTTTTAAAAAGAAAATATTTAGTGACCCGAATTTTTGTGACTCGAATGTGTTAAAATAATATCGTTTTACACTCAGAACGACGTCGTTTTGAATATTTCGAGCCATTCGAAATATATTTTTTTAGATCACCTAATATTATTATTTTTAAAATTTATAACTAAATAAAATTTTAACGTTCAAATTTTTTTTAACAATTCATCTTTTAAAGCACGACTCAAAACTAACTTTAAAAACTAAACCAAAAGCAAACTAAGGCCTTGTTTGGATATTTTAAAAAAATTAAAAAGTTAAAAAGTTATTATCCTATTTAAATCACATCATCTTATTTAAATTATATTACCTCTCTACTACATCACTTCAAACTCAATTTATATTTTATAAAAAGTTAAAAAATACACTTATTTACATTATTCCAAACCATCCCTTAATTTATCAGGTCCCAAACACTACACAAGTCACGTGACACGTCAGCATCCATCCATTCTCTCTCTCTCTCTACCCTTCCTCGTCACGTCCCCCATTTTCACTCTCTCTCTCTCTGTCTCTCTCTCGTCAAACCCTTCGTCTCTCTTGTTAAATATTCGAATTCCAAACCCTAACCCTAATTCCCACCCAATCAGTCCCAAACTCCAACCTAATACACTCCCATTTCTAAACCCTAACCCTAACCTCAATTTAACGCTATCTATTATCTATCTATATTGTACTATATTTTATATAAATACATATACACATACATACACTTCGAAGGGTTTCATAGCTGTTTCTGGTTCGATTGCATGATGGATTCTCACGGCAACAATCTCTACGACACGGCGTCTCAGCCCGACACCGGCAACGACGACGCTTACACCTTCCTCGAATTCAACACTCAAGGCGAGGACTTTGATTATCCTGAATTTCAAGAGCTATCTCAGCCAATTCGATCCTCTGTTTGGCCCACACCCTCCGATTCTGTCTCTGATGCAGCTGAACGAGCTGATAGGGCCTCTTCCGTCGAAAATAACTTTTTAAAAGCCAGAAGTCACGTCCGGGAGCGGCGCCAAAGGGAGGGGCGGTGGCGGAGGGAGTAATCAGGCGGTGGTTGACGCGCTAGCGGCTGGGATGAGTGGGTTGAACTTTGAAGAGACTGGGGATGATGAGAATTATGAGTATGGTAAGGGGGATTTTACGGCGCATGCTTGTCGATACTGTGGGGTGACCAACCCGGCTTGTGTTGTGAGGTGTAATGTGCCATCGTGTCGCAAGTGGTTTTGCAATTCGAGGGGAAACACTTCTGGGTCACACATTGTTAACCATCTGGTATGTGGGTTTTGTTTTGTTTCTTCATATATATATATATATATATTAAGTATTTGTATATATCTATTTGTTTGGATATCTTGTTAGTTGACCTTGAAAGTTGTGTTTTTTAGGGTGCATTGAATGTTGATGTACTTATTTTTGAATTTGGGATGGAGAATTTGGGAAAGTACATCTAGATTAAAGTGAATGTTGGATGTGCACGAGTGCTTGGGGTTCTCTGGCTGAATTTGAGTCAAGCATTTTGTTTTGAAATTGTGTTCCTGACTTGATAGTTTCTATATGGATTCCCTCATAAATTCGCATCGAACTATGCCTGAATCACGAAGTGAGGATCGTAAGATTGTGATAACTAAGATTGTAATGTCATAAATCCAATATATCTTGAGGTTCACATTCCATAGGTTTTTTTTTTTGATAAGCTAAATATTAATGACAAAAGTCTTAGAGGTGGCAAACCCTGTGTACCAAAAAAAAAATAAAAATCAAAGCTTAAATGTTATACATCAAAGGGCACATTCAAGCCTCCTATAAACTGCACGAAAGATAAAACTGAGAAAGGACAATCCTTTATGATAAAAAAAGCCTTTTGGCTGTGTTTGGATCAAATGGAAAAGAAAAAGAGAGAAATTAGCTTATATTTGTTCACATTTCCCTCCCACTTTAGTTTCCCATCACAAATCCTTTATCATAGAAAAAGCCTTTTGGTTGTGTTTGTATATGTGATTTCGTTTCCTTGTTCGTTGAAAAATTCAAGATCCTAACATAACCTCAGACATCTGTAAATAGTCCTCCATAGCCACATTGGTTTTGATAGCTAGGTGAAAAAGGTTTGAAAAACTTCCCTAAGAAGTCTAATGATAGCACCATAGATCAAGCCCAAACCTCACTATCCCCTCATTCCACACCCTCATGATTTCCTTGCACAAATTCACTCCAGAAGGCCCAACAACTCGATCAGTGGTAATGGACCTGTTACCCCTATTCTCCAATATTTCCTGTCCACCATTTTTTCCCCACAACCTCTCTTGCGTACCCAATTGAACTTTTTTGAATATCTCCAACTTCCCTACCCCAAACCCCCCTTTTAAATGGGCTAGCACACACTGCCCCATTCAACCAAATATTACTTCATCTCCTCTAATCCTCCCAAAGATCTGCAAACTCTCTGACCCTACTCATTACTGGACCAGGAACAATGAAGATGGACATAAAATAAACAGGTAAGCTTGGAGTGCTCTTAATCAAGATCAATCTTTCCACTTTAGATATATACTGGTCCTGTTTGGTGTAGTTGTTAAAACAGATTATAGATTATAGCTTAATAGATTATAGATTATGACTTTAATCAGAAGCTGTTAATCTGTTTGGTATAACTGTTGGATTATAGATTTAAGTTGCTGAGTAGTGTTTGTCAAATAAGCTGTGAAGTAGCTTTTTCAATTAACTTTTATTTTTTATTATTCACTATTTGTCTACATTTCTTATAAAAAATAATAATAATATTTTATAGTCAATTTGGGTCTTTTTCTATTTTTAAAAAAATAAAAAATAAAAAAATCTAAGAGTATAACCGTAAATTAATATGTCCACAGCAGAAGCTGATAATCAGAAGTAAGGGGTGAGCAGCTTCTCAGAATCAGCTTTTTTGACTTAAAATAAGTTGTTAGAATCAGAAGCTGTTTGAAATAAGTTTAACCAAACAGTCCAAAATAACTTTTTAAAAGCCAGAAGTCATAAGTTGGCTCAAAAAAGCTCTACCAAACGCCCCCACTACATCTTCCATGTAGCAAGTTTCCTCTCAAGTCTCTCCATTACACCATCCGACAAACCTTTAGCTTCAAACTTAGACGTTTGGGGCATTCCCAATTATTGAGTGGGCAATGTCCTGTTAAGGTTGTTAAGTTATCCAAAACTCCACAAATTCGTTTAATTTAGTCGAATGTAAAATTTAGAAGAGAATTGATTCTGAAGTTTGCTAGTTTGGCATGAAGGCCTTATTTATTATTATTATTAATATTTTTTGAGTTTCTAGTTTAGGGTTCTTGTCTCAATTTTTTCTCTTATTGTCACTTGTTTCATGTCATGTTTTCATTTTGAATTCAATTGCGTGAAGTTCACATTTCATTTTTATGATTGGTGAATGCCTGGTGTAGTAAGCTTATAATATTTCATAATGAGAGGTATTTTATTCTGATAATTTTTATGAGTCAGGATGTGATGTTATTGTTTTTTGTAGGTTCGAGCTAAACACAAAGAAGTTTGTCTTCATAAAGATAGTCCCCTGGGAGAAACAATCCTTGAATGTTACAATTGTGGATGCCGCAATGTGTTCCTTCTTGGTTTCATCTCTGCGAAGACGGAGAGTGTTGTTGTTTTACTGTGTAGGGAGCCTTGTCTTAGTGTCAATGCATTGAAGGACATGAATTGGGACCTAAGTCAGTGGTGTCCCCTTATTGATGACAGATGTTTTCTGCAGTGGCTTGTTAAGGTTGCTATTTTATTTTCTCTATGTTGTCATTTCTGTTTTTTCTGTATTGTGCTTCCCAAAGTTGCTAACGTGTTGCACTTTGCAGGTTCCATCTGAACAAGAGCAGTTGAGGGCACGTCAAATCAGTGCTCAACAAATAAACAAGGTTGAAGAACTTTGGAAGACTAATCCTGATGCTACCTTGGAAGATCTTGAGAAGCCTGGTGTGGATGATGAACCTCAACCTGTTGCCTTGAAGTATGAAGACGCATATCAGGTTCCTATTTTTGCAATGTTGAGCTGTAGCTGTGAATTGGTGTTGCACATGTTATGATTGTTTTTACGGCATGAAATTCTTTGGAGGTGTTGTAGTTATGTGCCTACATTAGTTTTACTAATAAGCTTCTTTGCTGCTGTATTTCGTATTGCAGTATCAAAATGTGTTTGCACCACTAATCAAACTTGAAGCCGACTATGACAAAGTATGGTTTTCAATTTTATTGTCTTGTCTTGTGACACATTGATTGTTTCAATTTAGTGCTCTGTCATTTCTGTAGTTTAATCTTATGTAAATTTGATTTTTCTTTATTTTTTTTGTTGTGCAGATGATGAAAGAATCTCAAAGCAAAGACAATGTCACGATACGTTGGGATATTGGTCTCAACAAGAAACGCATTGCATATTTTGTTTTTCCGAAGGTGCTTCCCTATGTTGCTTTTCGTCCTTACTTCGTTTCTTGTAATTTCAATTCCAGTTGCATTAACCTTTTCTTTATATCTGTCCCTAGCTTTTCAATTGGCATTTAAATTTGGTTAAACTCTTATCTAACCTACACATACACTTTCTTATTGTAGGAAGATAATGAGTTGCGTCTTGTACCTGGTGATGAGTTGCGGCTACGTTATTCAGGAGATGCAGCTCATCCAGCTTGGCAGTCAGTAGGCCATGTGGTAAGCATTCTTTTTCTTGAGTTTTGATTCATCTTTTCCCTTTTCTCATATCCAGTTTTTGATTAGTGGTATAATTTCTTTTGATTGATTTTTCTGCTGAGAAAATTTTAAATGAAAGATGTCCTTTACTCATTTTGTATTCTTTACTAGACGTGGGTGCATTTTATAGATGGTCTGATGGGTTAATATTTGTTGCAGATAAAATTAACTGCACAAGAGGAGGTTGCTCTTGAGCTTCGTGCCAGTCAGGTAGATTGGTTATAAACTCTGGTGGCTTCAGTTTGCTTTGACTGATAACTGCCATTAACACTTACGGTTAGCATTTTCTGCAGGGAGTTCCTGTTGATGTGACCCATGGTTTTAGTGTTGATTTTGTGTGGAAGAGCACAAGTTTTGATCGGATGCAAGGGGCAATGAAAACTTTTGCCGTGGATGAAACAAGTGTTAGTGGGTGGGTTAGCTGCTTTGTATTGTACTAGTTTTGAGTCAATTTGGAGTAAATTGAGTTTGTGTTTAAATTAAAGTAGGCATTGCTAAACCTGCTAAAATATTGAGCAATTAGCCTGCTTTGTTTCCTTACTTTTTGGAGATTCTTTTTTCTTTGCTGCTGAATTCTTAGTGGAGTTAATTGAGTTTGATGTAATGCTTCTTTCATGTAGCTACATCTATCATCACTTGCTGGGACATGAAGTCGAGGTTCAGATGGTCCGTAATGCATTGCCTCGTCGTTTTGGTGCACCTGGCCTACCAGAGCTTAATGCGTCTCAAGTAAGCTGTCTTGACTGCATACTCTTTCGATTTATGATCATTTGAATACTAAGCTTTATTTAATGTAGATGAATAGCGTTTTGTCCCTAATACTTGTGCCTCTCTTTCTATGACTTTCTAGATGCATTTCTTGCTCCTGTTTTATATTTTCCCAATTTTAGGATTTATTATATTGTGGTGCTATTTTTGAGGGTCTTGACCATCGTGATCTATTGATAGATTTTTGCTGTAAAAAGTGTCCTTCAAAAGCCAATAAGTTTGATTCAAGGTCCACCTGGCACTGGAAAAACTGTGACTTCTGCAGCAATTGTATATCATATGGCCAAACAAGGCCAGGGGCAGGTAAGCTCATTAGCATGTTTTCCAATTATTCACATCCTGTATTTCATTGCATGCTTTTGTTTTTGATAATTTGTTATTGTCAGGTATTGGTTTGTGCTCCCAGTAATGTAGCTGTTGATCAACTGGCTGAAAAGATTAGTGCCACGGGATTGAAGGTACACACATTACTTGGTTAATGGTAAAGCCATATTTACAGCAATACCAGATTTGGTTGTTTGATCTTATGGTGGTACCTGGTTTAGTTGATGCTTCTATTTAGTTTGTTTCAGGCATGGTTGCATAATTTGTATAGCCACTAGCTGAAGTTAAGGCTGCAAATACCTCACTTATTTAGGTTCTGCTCAGTTAGTTTTGGAATTTGTTGGGTTTGGCTTGAACTTGGCATGAGCTCCAATAGAATATTTGTGTCCAAGCTCTACTTGCATGATTTTTTATGAAGAGCTGGGGGAGTGGCTTAGCCTGGTTTTTATTATTAGATTGGAAAAAAGAGAGGAGAAATGTGTGTGTGTGTGTGTGTGTGTGAGAGAGAGAGAGAGAGAGAGAGAGAGGGAGAGATGGTTGTGGTGATCAGATCTAATTATAAAAACCTAACTAAATTAAAGCTCCTAATAAAAAAATTACAAAACCGTCAATTATCTTTTTATTCAACTCCTTTGTGTTCCCCATCAGCTGGTAGGGCACATAAATTTCAAGAAAATAGCAAACCACATATTTATGTTGTTGCACATAATTCAATGTTCTCCAAAGATTACGTGTGTAAGAATAGGAGCTTCTACGACCACTATAGATAAACCCATATGACCGTCACTTGTTATGAGGCTCCCAATCCCCAATGGAGATTCTAAACACTTCTCCGGGATGCCAAGAGCTTGCCCTCAAGTTTTGTTAGAATTTACCATCACCTACCACCACTACCACCTCACCTACTCCACTACACCTAAACCACTACACCACTACCACCTCACCTACTCCACTAAACCTAACCCACTACACCACTATCACCATCCACTACACACCATCCACTACACCTACATCTATATAAGGAACCATTTGTAATAGACAGAAAATATCAATATATCAATCAATAATACAATTCTCTATTTCTCTTTATACATCAATTTTAACATGGTATCAGAGCAAGGTTGAGAACCTAGTAATTCCGCTTCATCGGCGGGCGGCAGCCTCGCCTTGGCCGCCCGCCGGACCTCTACACATATCCTGACTCCGCTGTAACTTCATCTTCCTCTCCTCACTATTGAAGAACTCTGCTATTAGTCCTCTTCTTTCTTTCTTCGTCACATCGGCCGAGCCTTCACACCGCCGCATACCATTCTTTCCGGATGCAGCTACCCAAGTGTCTACTTGCACTACATCACCCCCAGTAGGATAGCGCTCTACCAGAACCTGCATTTTAGTGACCACCCAAATCAGGTTTTTTTTTTGCACATCTCCGGAGTTGAACCAAAGCCATCACCCAGAAGTCCTGCACTCTTCACGTGATTAAGAGCTGTTTCCTGCAAATGCTTCTGCGTATTGATGGACCTAGGTTCTAAGTTCTGTGGGCTGATATGTTCTATTATAATATATTATATTATTATAGTATGGTATATTATATTGGTCATTATATATCCAGCTGGTTTTGTAAGCAATATGTTCTATTATAATATATTATATTATTATAGTATGGTATATTATATTGGTCATTATATATCCAGCTGGTTTTGTAAGCAATATGTTCTATTATAATTTGCTATGCACTCCAAACAACCTCTAAGAAATTATCTAATTTACAAAAAATACTCATGCTCCTCCAAGGTTGTGAGATCTCTATAATTATGAAAATGCCATAGGCCCATACTAGTGTGGAAACAAGTCCCATAGCATGCACAATGCCTGCCTGTGCCAAACCTATTGAAGGCAACTCAATGGTCATGAGCAAGACTCTAGTTAAGCTCGCAACTAGTAACACCAGGCAATACTCTAAGGGCATGTTTGATTAGAAGGATTAAAGCATGGGATTGGAATTATTAATCCGTGGGCCCAATCATCCTATGTTTGTTTTGACATTTTGGTTTAGGATTATTAATCCAATGGATAATTAATCCAACAAATTTGTAGGATTATTAGTAATGGGGTAGGGGTGGGATAGCTAATACCACACTAATTTGATAGGATTATTAATACCTCACTATTAGTGTTGTGAATCAAACATGGCCTAAATGAACATGAATTATTGTTGAGCCTATTGTGGTGTAGGCTTATTTGTAAAAGAGGCATGTTATATATTTCTATATATATTGTTTCATTTTAAACTTTTATTGGTGATATCCTTTCAAAGAAGTTAAAATGATATCCCCCCATTATTGTTTGAAGGATGATATTTGATCAAACAACTGGGAATGAACTAATGAAACTTTAAAGGTAGGACAAATCAAAATTGAATCTGCAGTCATGTCCTGGTTGGTGGTTAATAATATTGCTTCTGTGTTCCATGAATGTTAGCAACATTCTGCTGCATTTTATTCTTTTATTTGATTTTTCCTTGTCCATTGTTGTGTTTTTATTTATTTTATTTTTTATATTTTATTTCCCACTTTTAATTTTTAAATAAGTCAGGTTGTTAGGCTCTGTGCAAAATCAAGGGAAGCTGTAAGTTCTCCTGTTGAGCATTTAACCCTCCACCATCAGGTTTGTTTGTTAATTGTTCAAATATTTTGTGCATATTGCTTTTTTATAGCTTCTGTGTTTTGGGCATTACGCCTCTTACATTGTTTCACTGCAGGTTCGGCATCTTGACACATCTGAAAAGAGTGAACTTCATAAGTTACAGCAACTGAAAGACGAACAAGGTGAGATTTGATGTTGTTATCAGGGTTCTCCATTAACTTGCGGTTATGAGGTTTGCTGTTCTTTGCTTGAACTCATTAGTATGGATCACCTTGTTACTGGTGATGTGCTATCATATTATGTGCTATTGCATGTAGGTTTGTGCTATCAAATTTTGGTGCCCCTTCTTGAACCTCACCTGTTTCCATCACTAGATGTGTTCGTGATGTTTTCATTAAACTAACAAATAATAGCATCATTTTGCTTGGTTGTTAGTTTGTACTCTTTATAATTTATGTTAAACCATGGGGGAAAAAAATCTTTTCATTTTTTTCTTCTAAATTTTTGTTGTTAGTTAAACCTTTGATTGGGACTCTCTTTCCAAGGATAACGTACATTCTATGCATAAAAAAAAGTTTATTCCTTTAATGCAACTATTGTGACAGTAGTGTTTTTGTGTTTGTGGGTGGGTGCTTATGTGAACTTGGAAACGCATGTACGTCATGATCTGAATTTACTTTAATGGAGATTTTCTTATATATATATATATATATATATTTCTACAGGAGAATTATCCAGTAGTGATGAGAAAAAGTATAAAGCTCTGAAGCGAGCAACGGAGAGGGAGATTTCTCAGAGCGCTGATGTCATTTGTTGCACGTGTGTTGGTGCTGGCGATCCTCGACTGGCTAATTTTAGATTTCGGCAGGTTAGTTGTGAAATTATTTAAGTCAATAAAGGAATGACAAGCTTTTCAGCTATGATTTACACATTTTTTTTAATATATTTTTATAATTGTTGATAGGTCCTTATTGACGAGTCTACTCAAGCAACAGAGCCCGAGTGTCTTATTCCCTTAGTTCTCGGAGTGAAGCAGGTAGTTGCGAAAACCGTTCTTGGCATGCCATTTTCCAGTTTATTGTTATCTCCTTTTTCTAATTGAGATTTCTCTTTTAGGTGGTTCTTGTTGGTGACCATTGCCAGCTTGGTCCAGTCATAATGTGCAAGAAAGCAGCTCGGGCTGGGCTAGCCCAGTCTCTATTTGAACGCCTAGTGCTACTTGGTGTGAAACCAATTAGATTGCAGGTGATAGTTCTGTTTTAGTTTTGTGTATACGCATGTCAACATGTGGGAACTTTTATTTGTCTGTATAACGTGGAAGGTTGTCTTCTATATTGTCTTCTGGGAATCTCTTATATGGTTGCTATACCTTGCACAAAGCTTAACACTCTTTAATGCATACCCTTTTAAGGTCCTTGCAAGTTTCTTGGCTGTGTCAGTGTGTATCGCATGATGTTCCTCTTTCTCTGTTCATCGGTTTCTATATTGGAGCCAAGGTCCAATTTTCATAAAGTGATTTGTAACTTTATCGTTTGGTTTTTGTTATTGGCACAAGCATGTGTAGTGACTTGTTTACATTCTGGCACTATATATCAACATATTTGCCTGTTTTTTCAGTAGTATACCTTAAACACCATGTATTTGTTATGCTTGGTGTTGGTGGTGCATATTCTTCGGTGATAATAGTTGCTGACTTGCTTTTGATTTTGTTTTAAGAAATGTTGACAATTGGTTTTCTTTATGCCATTAATGATGTTCCTTAATATAGTTTTGTAAATGTGTATAAGGCAAGGATTTTGAGGTGAGGGATTCTACCATGCTCTCTCAGCTGTTATTGCACCTCTACCAAATGTTTCTGAACATATCCTGCTTGTACAAAGATATGGCAATACTGACATCTAATGTATTGTGCTTTTGAATTCCAGGTTCAATACCGTATGCATCCTGCCCTTTCGGAATTCCCCTCTAACAGCTTTTACGAAGGTACACTTCAAAATGGGGTGACCATCAATGAAAGGCAATCATCAGGCATTGATTTTCCTTGGCCTGTGCCAAACCGTCCAATGTTCTTTTATGTTCAGGTATCATGATTTCTTTTATAAATTTTTGCATTATAATCGATCATTTGTAACATAACGATTAGCGAGTATTAAGCAAATGCTTTTTTGGCCATGTGGAAAATACTCAAAGCTATACTCGACCACTTCTCTTAGAAACTTTTTAGTCATGATATACAAAATTTTTAGCAAGGAAACTTTTTGGACACAACATTTTAGCCCCTTAGCAGATCCTAAGAGATTTTGATGAAGCACAACTAGGCTTGGCTTTGTTATTTCTATTCCTTCAAACTTTCTATTCCTTTGAACTCTTTCTCTCACTCCCCCCAAATATTTTTGTTTTGAACCTGGATTGTTGTTTTTTTAGATGGGACAAGAGGAGATAAGTGCTAGTGGAACATCGTATCTAAACCGGACAGAGGCTTCAAATGTTGAAAAAATTGTGACTACCTTTCTAAGGAGTGGTGTGGTTCCTAGTCAGGTGTGACTATTGATCTGCTTAGCTTCTTGGTTCCTGTTGCTGGATCTATTGTATGTTATAATCCATTTTTGTTCAACATTTTACAGATTGGGGTTATTACACCATACGAGGGACAACGAGCATATATTGTGAACTATATGTCAAGAAATGGTGCTCTCAGACAGCAACTTTACAAGGAAATTGAGGTACTATATGCATATGACTTATTGCATAGAAGTGCAACTATATCCATGGCCGAGAATGCTACATTTAATATTTGCTTTTACAGGTTGCAAGTGTAGATTCATTCCAAGGAAGGGAGAAAGATTACATTATTTTGTCTTGTGTGAGGAGTAATGAACATCAGGTTGGTTCATACTGCTTTTGGATTGTGTGTTTGGTTGGTGTCTACTTGTAAGTAGCTTCTATTGTGGCGCTACTGGCAATAAACTAAGTGTTACTGTCTCCACATGCATTGTTGTGTCTGCTCATGAAATAGGTGCTTGTAAATACTTGCTAAATTTTAATATTCAAAATTTGATATAAAGTTTTTTGATGGAGTTAAAATTTGAAGTAATTTTCGTCCTGGCATATTCTGCAGTCAGTAATAGGTCAACTCTAAAAGTCAGACCTGTATTTGTTTGGTTCAGTTATAAGTGGTAGCTTGTCTAGAAGTATTATATGCAATTGATGAAGGTTTTACTTAAATTTTCGTATTTAGTGGTATTATTAGGGCTGCAAACTAGCCGAGCTTGAGCTCGGCTTGTTTGCTTATCGAGCTCATTTATTGAGCTCGAGCTTGGCTCAATAACTAACTGGGCTCAAGCTCGGCTCGGCTCATTAATATTAATAAAACTTGAGCTCGGCTCACTCAATTTTTAAAATATTGTTTATATTATTTAAATAAAAAATATTATTTATATTATTTAATATATAAATAATATATTTATTATATAATTTAAATAAAGATAAACGAGCCGAGCTCGAATAAGCTCGGCTCGTTTAAACGAGTCGAGCTAAGCCAAGCCCTTAACGAGCTGAGCTGAGCTTGTTCATGAACGGTTCATTTGCAGCCCTAGGTATTATCAGAAAATCTTCGATTTGTTCTCCATGATGGCCTTTTGTTTTCGGCTTGATTATTCTCTTTGTAGTGTGGACCTGCTTTGGGTTAGTTATTTTGTTTGTTACACACACAATTGTTTGACTTAACTCGTAAGCTTATATTTATCATGTTGTTGCATACACAATAACAAGCTGATCCTTGATAATTGTCTCTTTTTTATCCAGGGCATTGGATTCCTTAATGATCCAAGGAGGCTTAATGTTGCACTCACCCGTGCTCGTTATGGCATTGTCATCTTGGGAAACCCTAAAGTTCTAAGTAAACAGCCACTGTGGAATGGTTTATTGACACACTACAAGGTATCCACGTTTCTTGATTTCTGTGATGTTGTTTATGATGGAGTACATTAGTTAGAGTATACATTAGTGAATTATGATTTGAATGTTGATACGGGCCTACTGATATTGATGTTTGGTGACATTCTGCACAAATGGCGTTTTGGGTACTGATGCTGGGACCTTGAATTGTTCACTAGTCAATTTATCCTTCTGCATGTTGATCTTCCTGCTTTAGGAGTCCATAAAAATGATCAAGTTGTGTTCGAGTTGGCATTCTGGTTTTAGAATTATATATAATTTGTGCTAGCTATTAATTGGTGCTTCCCTACCCCTTTTCTTTCCTTTTACTCTGTTTCTTCAGGAGCACGAGTGCTTGGTGGAGGGGCCTTTGAATAACTTGAAGCAGAGTATGGTTCAGTTTCAAAAGCCTAAAAAGGTTTGGCTTTGAATAAATGAATCGATATTTATTTAGTTTTTGTTGTATCGATAGATGACTATGAATCATGTTGAGGGGGTGATTATATGGCTGGTATGATGCAGATCTACAATGACCGCAGACTTTTCTTTGGTGGTGGACCTGGAATTGTGCCCGATAATTTTGGGTCTGCTGCCTCATCAAGTCCAAATTCTGATAGGAGAAACAGTCGTTCTAGGGGTATGTTGGATGTGGTATACTGTATTTCAAATTTTTTTAACTACAGCTTAACGGTCTCTGTCAAATCTGGGTTTAGTTGGCCCCTCGCCCTAGGATCTCATCCATTTCCAATATTATCAATGCAAGATGTAGAATCTGTGTGCTTTTTCACATCTTTCTTTGGGCTGTTGTTTTATTAGATAGTTCCACCAATTGCTCATGAACAACACTCTTTTTTCTCCTGGCAAACAGGTTCGTATATGCCATCTGGCCCACCCAATGGTACCCATAAACCTGGGGTACATCCTGCTGGTTATCCTATGCCTCGGGTGCCTCTTCCACCATATCACAGTGCGCCCCCTTCGCAACCCTATGCTATTCCAACTCGTGGAGCTGTTCATGGACCCATTGGGGCTGTTCCTCATGTTCCTCAACCTGGAAATCGGGGTTTTGGGGCTGGGCGTGGTAGTGCTGGTACCCCTATTGGCAGTCATCTTCCACACCAGCAAGGCTCCCAGCAACCTATTGGAAGTATTGGATCCACTTTCAACTTTCCTCCTCTGGAGAATCCAAACAGCCAGCCATCTGTTGGCGGACCGCTATCTCAGCCTGGATTTGTTTCTAATGTTTGTACTTTTAATTATTGTTATGGTCTTCTATTCTTATGTACCTTCACCTCTCTTTAACATGGTTGGGTAATTTTTTTTCCCGTGTGTGCACCACAGATGACAGTTCAAGGACCAAGCCAAACATTTCGTGATGGTTTCTCTATAGGGGGCATGTCTCAGGTATCTGATTTTGTGAATGCCAAACATTGTTTCTGGAATTGGTTGTCTTCATTTTCTTGAAAATTTATCCATCAACCACAACACAGGATTTCTTGGGTGATGATTTCAAAAGCCAGGGATCACATGTTCCATATAATGTTGCTGACTTCTCTACACAGGTAATAATAGTTAGTGTTATTAAGCATACACATGCATTCAATCAATAGCTACACCACAAATTTGCAGTGCATAAATATTTGATTTACATGTCCACGGTGGTTGAACCGAAAGGCTATTTGTCTCGTTAAGTTGTTTTTTACTTCAAAGAACATTCTATGTTTGACCCATTTGGCAAGTGCATTGCATTATTCCTTGATAATTGTTGTGTCCAACAATTTTAAATGTTGACAATTGACATGTGTTATTGCCTTGCAATGCAGGCTTCTCAGAGTGGATATGCTGTTGATTATGTTACACAGGGAGCCCAAGCTGGGTTTCCGGGAAGCTTTCTAAACCAGAATTCTCAGGGTGGATATTCTCGCTTCAGTACAGGAAATGATTTCTTGTCTCAGGTTTGTTCATTTGTTTTTTTTTCTAGGGTGGTTGGTAGTTTCATTAACTCTGATTAAAAAATTAAAAAGAAATCAAAGGTAATATGAAGCTTAAAGAAAACCATTTCAAGGACAAGTTAAAAACAAAAGAGCATCAATGCAATAGTATTATGATCCTGGGTATATGCCTAGAGAATGCACCAGTGATGGTTTTATTTTTGTTTTCTTCTTTTTTTTTTATACTTCCCGTTTTGTTTATTTTATTTTTGTTTTGGGCCTCACTCTATTGAATTGTTGTGACAGGATTACATGGCTCACGGTTCCCAGGGTCTGTTTACACGGGTTGGATTCAATGATCCATCACAAGATGATGCTTCCCAGAGCCACTTCGGTGTGGCCAATGCCAACCCACTTCAGTCTCAGGTTTCTTGTCCTAGTGCTTCTTGTTGGAGAAATTATGTAGATAAAATTATCAAAAGGGTTAATGATATACAAACAGAATTGTTATATAGAATGATGCAGCATTTGGTGATCCTTTCATTTCGAACTATAACATTTGTTATTGTGGCTTATAATTTCAAGAATGTTACTATCACATCATTCTTGTTGAGTTGTGTATGAAAATGTTACCTGTAAATCATTTTCCTTGCCAAAATGGGTAGGCATAGAAAGTATGATTTGTGCCAGGATCTGTGTAAGTTTGGTCCTTCGCCTTTCTTTACCAATTTATGAAAGGAAAATTCTACTTCACTAGAATTGTTATACATAATTTTGCTTAAGAATGATGTGGCAATGTCATTTGTGTAACTAAAGGCATCTTAATATACTCTTTATTAATGGATTTTCAATTCAAATTCAATCATGATTTCACCAATCAATCAATAGTTTGTGTTTGGAGGTATTGACCAAGAGTCGGTTAAGATGCCTTTAATTACACAAATGACACTGCCATATCATTCTAGTGCAAAATTCTATTAAAAAATTCTGGTTGAATAGCATTTTTCTTATTCTGAAGTGAGAGGCTCAAAAACCCAGCCAAGTCATTATGTATGAGTTTTCTGTATAGATTTTCTGTTTGTATATCACCACTTTATGAAATTATGAAAGGGCTTGTTGCAGATGTTCGTTGCCCTTTCTAACTTGTAATATCATTTTGTTTTGTTGGTTGGTGAAATTCTTCAAATTTCAGTGTATTATAAGATTTTCGCTTGTTTGCAGGGTCTGATGAATCCTCTGTATTCCCAGCCGTTTGCCCACTACAATACACAGCCAATAAACTTGCAAGCTACACAGCAGCAGCAACAGCAGCAACCGCAGCAGGGTCAGAACTCCCAGAATCAGAAACTTCATTACAGCGGGTGAGAAATTCACAGGAGGCTTATATCTGCGATGGGTTATAGTCTTTGCATCCAGCAACTTGTTTTGTGCTGTCATGTGTGCCTATTTTATTGCCTCGAGACACTGAAAGGTTTTGCCAAATAATTGAAGCCTAAGCATATTGTGATAGCACAAACATTAAAAGATGATTCTAATAATTTTAGAATCATCAGCAAGTTTGAGTTGGCAGAAGGCTATGGGTCTCGGAGCAGACACGGGTGGCACATTCAGGGCTGTGAAAGAAAAGGATAAAACCCCACTTATATCTTCCTCAAGTTTTGTATTGTGTTTCGGAGAACGTAAAATCATTTGGTTTGTGGGAGAGAGATCATTACATGGCATGGTTTTGTTGGAAGGGTTCTGTTGTTCAGAAGCCGGGGAAAATCCATTATTCATACAGAGGAGCTTAAGACTGTAAAATCTTTGTACAGAATGCGAGGGGATAGTCGCCGGACCCTTTCAGATCTTCCTGACATGTAATTTTATACTCTTCATTATTATTATTATTTGATAGACGATGACATGTTGATATGTGTTCAGGACTTCAGGGTGCAAGCATTGCAAACCCTAATTGACAATCTAGACTTGGTAGTAGGTATGTGAATTTGTGATACTGGTTTTTGAATGAAATGAGGGTGCTTTGAAAATTCTGTAGACTGCTGAGTTATTTTGTTTGGGAGTCCAAAACAAAGCATTCTCTCTGTGGTGGCAATTTTCTTTTGATTATTGGATATAGATATAGTAATTCATTACTTGAATAGGTTTCACATTTCATGTTTTATATATCAAAATGCATATGTGACAATCAGATACACAAATTCAGTTATTACTAATTGGAGAATTTTCTTTTGATTATTGGATATACTAATTCATTACTTGAATAGGTTTCACATTTCATGTTTTATATATCAAAATGCATATGTGAGAATCAAATACACAACTTAAGTTATTACTTATTACTATATCGAAACTTATAAGTCGGCAAATGACCCAAAAAACTTGTTTAATTGTTGAAGATGGACAATTTGATTTTGGTTCTAAAATTGGCCTGTCTAATCAAGTTGGTTTGTTTATTGTGTTAGCATCAAATTAACCCAATGTGAATTTTGCTACACCCTATGGTGAAAATTAAAATAATATATTTAGGTTCGATTTGTTTGATCCAGTTTATATAGGTTGGATCAATTTGGTTCTAAATTCTAAAACATAGAACTGTTGATAGAAGTTCACAATTTCAACCTGAAAAAAATTTGAGTTAATTACTTAAAAGTTTTATTGATAAATGTTATGGGAATTTAGGTCCTATCTAAGATATTTGTACCAATAAATACTGTTTAACAACACTTCAAATATTATCAATTTTTCTCAATTTTTAAAACTAAGAATATTATCATTTTGTATAGTAATATTATAAATAATTGTTTCATTAACTGATGAAAAAAAAGAGCATGAGATTAAACGGTTTTGTCTTTCTACTTATTGATTTGATTCAACTATCTAATAAAACTGAGAATATTATCAATTTTTTCATTTTTAAAGTTTCCCCCCCTAGTTTTGCACATCAATGTTCCGTCATCATACTCCTTTGTAAACACAAAATTTTTAATTTTGCACAAAAAAATAATTCAATTTTTTCAAAAAAAAATGAACAAATCTTTTTTTATATAGTTTTTTTAATTTGAAAGTTGATATTTTAAAGCTTTAAAAATCAAAATATATGTCAAATCACCGTGTTCTTTTATAGAAAATTATAAATGATGAACAATCTTTGTTTGAAGGATAATTTCAACTATTAAAAATTTAATGAGATTTGAAAATTTAAAAAATCTTAATTAGAATTTAATAGAGTATAAGTTCACAAATTAAGATTTGTATATAATGCCCCAAAAAATATATTTGGATTGGTCCAATCTAGTTAATTTAGGTTGGATCAATTTGATTCTAAATCGAAAAACCATAGAACCGTTGATCCTAACAATAGAGTCTTTTGGGAAGTGAATTATTATTCATCTCTCACAAAAAGTTGATTATAATCAATTTTTAATCAAAAAATTAATTATAACCATCTTCTCAAAATAGTCCAATCTAAGTGCGAGTTTGAGAGGTTGGCAATTGGATTAGTTTAATTATTTTATTTTTATTTTTTTTGGGTACACTTTCAACTGAAAAGTTAATGGCTCAATCCCTATCAAATGTAAATTTTTAATTTTCTTTTAATGAGTGTTCATTTGTTTGTTTATTTTTTTTTTTCTCACTTTGAAATTCTTTTTATAATAGTTGCTATGAATTTACATGTATGTGTTGTTAAATTGTTTAGTTTTTTTTCTTTTGATAATTAGGTGTTTAAGTCAGATTGTGCATATCTCAACTAAATACCAAGATATTATTTGAAATCTTGAATCTTATTTTCAAATTTTTATGGCTCAACCAACATTTGGGATCAAATTGTTTTTAGTTAATTGTATAAATTATTATCGAATATTATCTTACGCTCATTTTTTATGAATTTGTAAATTTTAATCCTTGAATTATAAAATGCATACAACTAACCGCTCATTGAAGGGAGTAAAATGAAAGTAATATATTTTAAGTTAAAAAGATGTATAGTTGGGGGTGGATATCGGTTTGATGGCATGCCTAATCCGTCTGGTTTAGCGCTATTTTTTTGAGATTTGGAAAGGTTGTTTTAGCCTATAGGGCCGGGTTGGCCAACATTTTCAGCCCGAAATATTAAAGGGTTGGGTTTGAGATTTATACTTTCAACCTAGTCCGGTATAGCCCGCTAATTAATTAATTAATTATTTATTTATTTATTTATATTACATTAAAATATATATTTTTTTGAAATCCAAATTTTATCTTTGTTGATTTTATTGAAACTCACATTTGTGGTGATATCTGATTGAATTTATTTAAGAAATCTTTCAATTTATACACGAAATCTTTCAATTTATAATATTTAAAAAATATAATGTGTGATTGAATTTAATTATGAAATATTTTAATTTTTATAGGCTGATAGGTGGGCTTAGTATTTATGATTATTTTTTTAGACCGAACTTAGACAAATACAGTGACCCGATGATAGAGCCAAACCAGATTTATTATAGAATGCTAGGCCGACCCGAGGTTTGTACATCCTACGTATAGTATATAGAATTTCTCATTATTTGAAATCTAACACATATGAATTCCTTGAAAAGTCTCAACACATATGATTATTATCCCTTATAATAATAGTTTAATGCATTAAGAACAAACATAAAAAAAAAATTATTAAAAAGTTCAACACATATGATTATTATCAAAATATTAAACTTTAATATAATATA